GAGCTTCGATATGGAGTCTCATACGCCTTAATCCGATATTCGTAGCTCAACTTATGAGTAAACTAGAAATGAGTGTCAAATCTGCCGTTTCCGCTAACGGCCGTTTCCGTTTCCGTTCGTCATATTTACGTGCACGCGTGTCGTTTTGCCGTTTTGCTTGTTTTAGGCACGATAGTAGCCGTTTGCGATATTATGTGACACAATCTTCTATTTCAGACGGTGGTGAGGTGGGCGGAACCGGTGAGGCCCACTACTAGCTGTTCATTTCGATCCGACTTCGTACTTTTGCTATTTCAGTTTCTGTGTAAGTATTCAGGCCAGTTTGGTGTATTTTCTTTGCTATGTGTTTGAGATATGTGAAAAGAGTACTTAGGCGAGGGTGTACTTTATTGCACTCGACCTAAACCCTAATTTGAATGTATAATTGTACTTGGCATATGTATATGAACCTTTTGGAACCAAAACCCTTGAGCTTGTGGCTCGGGGCGACTTTCGAGTAAAGTTTGTGAAGTTTGCAAAGTTTGTGAGTTTGTGGGGCCGATCTAAGACCTGTTTGGACTATTCGAGCCGGTTAGGGCTTGGTCGAAATCAGTCCAACTTAGTCTGAGGTCACCAAGTTTGTAGGTTCATGTTATGAACCAATTTTGTGAATGCGGTTCACCGAGAAGGTGACCAAGTTTGTGACCCGAGCTTGTGACTCAAGCTGAAGTTTGTGATTTCGTTCGCCCAGGCAAGTTTGTGAGGTGACTGGCCAGTGAGAGTGATAAGGTGTCGGTGGGTGTACAAGTGAAGTTCTACGGACTATTATTTGCGGTCGACGGAGTGTCGGCAGGAGATCATACATGGCACATGAATTGGCTTTGGAGCCACCCGTATCCTTATTATATGATGTTGTTCTTTTCTGCTTTTGCTTTACTCTTATTGTGTAATTGTTGCTACGTGAATTTATGCTTTCGCCCCTGTTTACTTACTAAGCATTTAGCTTACCCCTTTTCTTTTGTTTTCCTTAGCAGGGGCCGACGCGGGGATTTTGGCACTTACACTAGTGTAGTTAAGTTTGTTTGTAATAGTTGGACAGTTAGGATGTTTGTTTTTGTTTTGGTGGTTTGTATAAGAACCCTTCTTAGGGTCTATCTTCTGCTGGTTGTGGTTGTAGTATATTAGAGTGGTTTGACTCGAGACTTTTGAAGATGTAAATATAACTTTTGGATTGTATATATTGTATTTAGTGATCTTTCGATTTATCTAGTTTTATTGCTTTAAGTTTTGAATCCTGGCGCGAGCTAGGCAGGCGGCCCGCCGATACCCTTGGGTTCGCCCTTGGGAGAAGTGGGGTCGTCACAATTCGCTTGTTCTAGTTTATGTCGTCCAAGGCAGATGTGATTGTTCTTGATTTATTAGGTCGGATATAGAAGCTCTAAAGGAGAAGAGAGGTTGTTTTGGGACGGTTGCTCATTGCTATAGGGAAGCTAATCAGGTTGCGGATGTTTAGTCGAAAGTTGGGGCGCAATCATCCTCGATCGCTATCTATAATTCATGCTCGGAGTTACCAAGGTTAGTGCAAGGTGTGGTTATGTTGGATGGATCAGGAACTCCCTCTATTCATCGAAAATTAAGTCGATAGCCGTGAGTATTGCTTTCATGTATTCACTGGAGGTTGGGTATAATTCTCTCTCCGTTGTTACTTTTTCCGGTCTTAATAATATTTGGGGGTGGCATCCCTCCTTGTGAACGGGGTTAACCAAAAAAAAAAAAAAGAGAGTGAAGAGGAAGAAATACTCATTCAAGTGAAGAAACAAGTTCTCCAAGTTTCATCATCTTCATTGCCATCAAAAATACATTGTTACACCAAGAGTTCTTCAAATTTTTCAAGGGAAAATAAAAATTAGATCTAAAACTACACTAAACTAAGCTAGAGAAGAAAGAGAAGCAAAAGTTTTCTTTCTAGCCAAGATCTGATCTCTCTCTCGCTCTCCAATAATGAGTTTTTTCTTACTAAGAGTCAAGAAAAGAAGCTCGTAGATGCCCTAAAAGTTGATATGAGTCGTCTGTTTATGTCTTGTCAAAGATGGAGTAAGAAACACAAATCATGCGAGTTGGCAACTTGCGGCTGCCACCAATCCCTTGAGGGTTCGTTGAGAACCTGTGGGGCGATTGTGAAGATTCCCTTGCATGTGATTCTCTGTTTTTTCTCTTTGACATTAACATTCTGCCTATAATGCCCTGTAAAATCCACTAAGAAACCCTTGAGGTTTTCTCTCTGTTTCTTTTAAGCTTTCCATTCTTCATCCTTGAACTGCACCACCACCTTTAAACATTGTTGTGACTTCTCAAGTTTTTAATCCTCACTTTGTTAGTTTACCATTTCACTTCCAATTGAATCATTTTCCCTACAAAAACAAAGAGATTTTGCAAGTAAAATGACAAGATCACAACTAATTCATCTATCAACTTAAGGTGCGAATTAAAGACAAAAGTGCACAACTTATATCAATTAACCTTACAAATTGACTAAAAAATAATATAAAACACCTTCAAAAGATCATAAAATTAGCCCTTGTCAACTTCCCCATACTTGAAATCATTACTTGTGCTCAAACAATATCAATAACTACACAACCACTGATCCAAGTGCTTAGCCAAATAACACACTTTTTCAAATTCAAATCGCATAACTCAACAATTAACCATTATGCAATCATTCAAATTACACTAAATACTTGTAATATTTAGTAAAGGTGAGACAGTTATACTCAAATTTAACCATGCTCAATTTCTCTCACCTTACGTAACTCCACAAGTAAGCAACTCATATAGTCAAAAGATAGCTAACACTTTCCTATAATCATCTTTTTCTCAAATCATAAGCTTAAAGAGGGAATTATTCACACAAACTATCAACAAATACTTAAGTATGAAAGTGTCCTTTGATGCGAAGATCGATATTTTTATGTGAGGACCCCCGATACTCAATACGTCCATATTCAAGTCACTCAACTACTCTTAATTGAAGTTCCTTTTTATGCGAAAATAGATATTTTTAAATGAAAACTCTCGATTACTCGGTATAAGAATCATTGGAGTAAAACTCTTATTTTAATTTTTTCTTTTTTCTCATTTTTTATATTCTTTTCTGTCTCTTTTTCTTACGAGATATACTATCCCTCTTAAAGATACTTGATTGTCCTATCTACCAACTACAATGTAATGTTTGTAGCTTTTGATTCGGTTAACCCCAACTTTCTAGCAATAGACAAAGGAATCAATGGTACACTTGCATCTGAATCACATAAAGCATTTGAAAACTCAATATTACCAATAGTGCAAAATATAGAAAAACTACTAGGATCCTCTAATTTAGGAGGGAGTTTGTTTTGAATGACTACACTATATTCCTCTGTTAATGCAATTACCTCATTATCCACAAGCTTACTTTTCTTGGACATGGTATCCTTCAAAAATCGAGTATAAGAAGGAATCTACAAAATATCAAGGAGAAGAATATTAATATGTAATTGCTTAAAAATCTTCAAAAACTTATCAAACTCCTATTTTTGCTTCTCTTGCTCAAACCTGTGAGGAAAAGGAATAGAAGAATTAATACTAACATTTAGGAGAAACTTTAGGAATAGGTAAATCCACATCAATAACTACACGATTTTTCTCTTTGTTAATTTCTCTATTTTCATGCTTTTTCTCTTCCTTATTCTCACAAGACACACCAAGGTTAGGATCCTCCAATTGCTTGCACAAACAGAGTCATCATGATTGCCTCCGCACAAATTACAAGAAGCAACAATTGCATTTGAACTACAAGTTGAACTTGAACGAACTTGTCTATTAAGCATTTTGACCACATAATCCAATTTTGCAGCCAACAGTTGATAGAGTCTATCTATCTCATACATACCAGTGGTTTACTTAAGAATATCTTTCTCGTTAGCCCATTGGTAGTTATTTGTGCCATTCCTCAACTAACTTGCCTATCAAAGCTCCACCGACTACTGTATCTACATGAGTCTTTGTCAGATAGGTGAGTCCATTGTAGAATGTGTGGACGATAAGCCAATCGGGTAGAACATGGTGTGAAAATTTTCGTTGTAACTCCCAAAATTGCTCGCAACCCTCATACAATGTCTTCCTGTTGACAAAAACTTTTTATGTCCATGAGAAGTTTAGCAATCTTGCCAAGTGGAAAGAATTTATTTAGGAAATCTTTTGAAAAATTGGCCCAAGTAGTGAAAGTGTTGGATGAATGTGATTGTAATCAAACCTTGGCTTTATCTCTTAATGAAAATAGGAACAATTTAAAACTAATTGCTTCATCACTAACACCATTAATTTTTTTTGATCAAAGAAATATATTTATTCAACCTCAAAAAAGGATACTACATTTTGGAAGTATTACAATTGACCCTAAATCTTCGAAAAGAAGGAAATGCAAGCTTGTCCAAGAGACATTCTCTCCTGGCCACTGTTGGCAATTTAGCGATATGTTCATAGACACAAACCAATTGGTTAGGATGGGCACAACCCTCATTCGACAAAACATCCGCCACCTTATTAGCTTCCCTATAGCAATGTGTGATCTGAAAACCTCCCCGGGCCACTTTCCAAATCTGATCCACCTCCCTACTAATAGACCATGGACATCGGTAAATATTCAAAAGAATGCATACTAACATCAAAGAATCTGACTCAATAACCAAATTATCAATGAAACCTCTTCGTAAACATAACTGCAGCCCAATAAGCAATGCTTTGGCTTCCGCTTGTAAGCTGGTAGCATTCCCAAGATACCCAGAGAACGCAAATACCAAATTTCCCGCAGAGTTCCGAAGAATCCCCCCTTCACTACTCACCCCCGGGTTGCCTTTCGAGTAACCATCTATATTAAGCTTTGCCAATCTAGAACTTGGGGATTGCCATCGAATTTGTTGGATTTGGAAGGCATCAGGCCGACACTCCACCATGTCCAAGAACATAGGCCACTCTAACACTTACTGCAACTCTGCGAATTTTAGCCCATAAGCATCCCTTAAATCCCAAAAAATGGCCTGACAAACAACAGCTGAGTTCTGAACGGTCCCATGGAAGACCACTTTATTCCTAGCCTTTCAAATATGCCAACAGATGAGAATAGGTAAGAGATGAAATACAAACTTAAGGCTTTCAGATTTGGCAGGCTTAAGCCACCAACTATCCAAACACACTTGAAAATGTCCTCTAGTGAAAACCATCTCACACAACGACCCAAAAAACCTCCACACATCAGTCACAATCACCCCCTCCATGAATAAGTATAGTATTGATTCAGATTGCGGTATCGAATAGCAGGAGCACTTTGATGGTAGATGAAACCTGTATGTAGCTAACACATCATCCAGAGCAAGACGACTATACAGCAGCCACAGCATAAAGAAGGACACCTTCAAGGGAACACTAGCATGCCACACTTGTTTAAGTAGGAATGATGATGGCTTAACCTTGTGAAGCTCTCTATATGCAGATGATAGAGAAAACTGACCCGAACTTGATGCCGTCCATATCATTCTATCTGGAGAATCCCCATCTGGACCAACCACCGCCAAAACGTGCTGGATAATGTCAACCGGCAGAACTTCCGCTAGCCACCACGTGACCCATGTCTCATTCTCCATAATGTCTTGAAAAGAGAGACCCTCCTGCACCTTCACTCTCAGATAGAAAGCCCCAGATCCAATCCCATTATCATACCAAAAGTTATAACGTCCATCTTGGAGCCTCCACCCAATAAATAGCTCTGCAAACCCCCTAATTTTCAGTATTCTTCTCCATGTTGCAGAGTTTAGGGGAGACATGGAAATTTGGCAGGGGTGAAGCTTCTTACAGTACTTAGTACGTAGAAATCTTGCCCACAAGGAAAGACCACACCTGAAATTCCACCATAACTTATAAGAGAAGGCCTTATAAGTGTCACTGATCGAACGAAATCCCACCCCACCTTTGTTTGGAGGATAGCACAAGTCCCTCCACCAGATCCAATGGAATTTATTCCCCTCTCGACCTGACCCCCAAAGAAAATTCGTACAAACCCTCTCAATCAATCGAAAAGTTCCTTTTAGTATCATGCCCAACCCTAGCAAGTGTATTGGGATACTGGACAGAACATGTTTAATCAAGACCATTTCCCCCCAGATGATAAAAGCCGTGGCTTCCAAGAAAGTACCTTATCCACAACCTTCTAGCACAGATCTGAGTAATAAATCTCTTTAGCTCTGCCAATAAACAACGGAGCTCCCAGATACCGAACTGGGAATTCTTTCTTTTGAAATTTAGTAATTTGCTCAATACACCCTGACGAGCTACAGTCATTTGAGGGTGAACTAAGTATCCGCTTTTCTGCACATTAACCAATTGGCTTGAATCATTCTGGTACCACTCCAGGATCCTCATGACTTTCTTCAATGAAGCCATATCCCCATTGGCAAAAATTATAACATCGTTCGCAAACGCTAAATGAGTAATAGTGGGGCAGAGTCTAGGCACCTTAAAACCCACAAAACTCGACTGGGTAGCAAGAGAATTCAAACCTTGGGATAGTACCTCTGAGCCAATAATAAACAATGCCGGCGATAACGGGCCTCCTTGACGCAACCACTTGGAGGATTTGAAAAAATCATAGGGCACGCCATTTATAAGCACAGAAAACCAAACGTTCGAAATCAACCTCCATACCATGTCAATAAATTTTTTCCCAAAACCAAAACGTTGCAACACTGCAATAAGGAACCACTAGGAAACCCTATCATACACCTTAGCCACGTCTAACTTAAGTAGCAAGTTCCCACCCTTGCACTTCTTTCCAATATTCGACATCAGCTCCTGAGCCAACAGGTAATTGTCGGAAATAGAATGCCCTTTAACAAAGCCACTCTGCTGAGGAGAAATAATTCGAGGCAAGATACCTGACAATCGACCCATCAAAATACGAGATATAACTTTATTCAGAAAGTTACAAACACTAATAGGTCTAAATTGAATAAAATCCTTAGGGTTCATAATCTTGGGTAGAAGCACAATAGATGTAGCCGTAACAAAGCGAGGTAGTTCGGTACCACAAAAAAAACTCAAAATTGCCTTGTATACATCTGGAGTTACCACCTCCCAGGCAACCAAAAAGAATTTTCTTGTGAAGCCATCTGGCCCAGCCGCATTGTCTCCATCTATCTCAAAAATCACCTTCCTCACCTCCTCTAAGGTAGGGACATCTTCCAAGCCAATATTATCAATATCAGCACTTAAATTAGGAATAACATGGAGTAACTGAAATTCTGACAAAGGATCGACCAAGAAAAAGTCACTAAAATAATTAACAACTTCCTTCCCTATACCATCATCCTCCATCACCCCCTCCCCCTTTGAGTCTTGAATCTTGTGAATTGTAGCTTGAAAACGGTGTTGCTTGACCATTGAATGAAAATATCTAGAATTATGATCTTCGTGTTGTAGCCACTTAACCGTAGCCTTTTGGCACCAAAATTGCTCCTCAATTGCCAACAACTTTTTCAAATTTGCCTGAGCCTGCTGTAGCTCAATATGAGCCTTGACAGATAGGTCAGACAGCACTCTAAGCTCTGCCGCTGCCACAACTTCTTCACCCTTCTTAATATTTTCAAACATATCACCAAATGTCTCCTTGTTCCACAGCTGAATCGAGAGACATTCCTTAACTTTACCCATACCACATAAAATGGCGACCCAGTCACCTCTATTTGCCAAGCTGTCTTAACCACATCTAGAAAACCATCTTTGAAAGGCCAAATGTTAAGAAAATGGAATGATCGAACCTTATTATTTACTCTAGGAGTGAAAGAGATAAGAAGCGGAGCATGATCTGACGGCGCCCGAACCAAATGTGATACCGATACTGACAAAGAGAAGTTCAAACAATCCATATTAATCAACACTCTATCTAGCAGTTTCCAAATTCTTGCATGCCCAAATCTATTATTATACTAAGTGAAAGTAGGGCCACAGAAACCTGCATCAAATACACCTCCATCAGTCATAAAACAAGACAGTTCCAAACCCTCAGATGGCCGAAACTGCCAACCCCCTTTCTTTTCACTCGACGAAAGGATGAGATTAAAGTCCCCCACAACATACCATGGACCTTGTCTTGGCTTGTCCTGTAATAAACCCTCCCAGAGCCGCTCTTTCTCTCAATCATATTGCACTTCACATGAACAAATGAAACAAGTATAGCAATAGGAAACTGAGGATGCCCCAACATAATAGAAAGATGCTGATCCGACTCTCCGACAGCCTGACTAACAAAAAGGGAACTAAAGAATACCCACAATTCCACTAATGAATTACATACTACAAAATCAAAATTTAACCGTATCCGAATCGAGTCAACTTCATCTATAGATAACTTACGTTCACAAATTCCCACAACTGCTAGCTTATGCATGGAAATTAATTTCTTTAGTCTTCTAAGGTTTCGAGGTTCTGATACCCCTCCCCCGAATGTTCCAACAACCATGAGATAGAATTTGGAAAGAATTTTGAGATTTCTTGGATACTAACCTGAGTTCTCTATTTGACGGAAATTTGGCTTGGATGTCTCGCCCTTTAGCTTGATGGACACTTTGTTCCAGAATTGCAAGTTGATCCAAATGAAGTGTCTCAACAACCTCATGTGTCACCTCTACCCCGCCGCACTGCCCTCTTATCCCATGTGACGATAAGGGACCTACACAAGTAATAGCGTTAGACGATGTTTCAGTCGACACCACTTCAACCTCCTCATCACCAAGCTCAGCTGCAATGCCTATCCTTACATCATCATCTCCCTTTTTACCATTCCTATTGACATCTTCCCCAACCACCCGCTTAGCCAACTCAGTGACAAGAGTTTCCACTGCTGCAACCTCCAGGCATACAGTTTCTTGCCGCTCTGCTTCTTCCACCTCATGACACTGGTCTGTAGTAATCTCGTCACTCACAGCTATCATACCATTCTCTAATTTATCAGATTCTCCCACACTAGATTTCCCAACTCTCGCCACAATACCATTTGTTAATTTAGCAGGTTCTGGACAGCCCCCTGGAGTAGCTTCGACGTATGCCAAATTGGCAGCCTCTCCTCTCTTATGACCCATTTCAAGATTGTTAACAATCCTCTTACATCTAGAATCCAGTAGTTTGTCCACTCGTGATAGAAACTTCATCTCCTCGTGAGCCATCTTTGGACGCAGCTCAGGATTTTTAATATGGCATCCGAATGGTCATGGCCTTCGCGATAACAATGATTACAGTATTTCAACAAACTCTTGAGATTAAGAGGTTGCTAGAATCTGTGACCCTCCCATAACTGAATCCAAACCCGTGATGGTAACTCTTTCATTAAATCAATCTCAACACAAACCCAAGCCACACTCAGTCTGGAGAGTGCAGCAGTCGCAGAAGCGATGAAGAGAGGCCGTCCCAAACAAGATACAATTTGAAACAAGCACTGCTTGTCGAATAAGTGCACGGGTAGCTTAGGAAGCTAAACCATACAGGCACCAAAGATGACTCCTTGTCGATATGAAAGGTCGATGACCATTTAAAAACTCTCATAGGACTCCCAAGGACATACCACACATTCCTAGTCCAAACGCGCATGAAGTCCGCCTCATTGTGCAATTTAATCAATACATGTCGCGCATCTAGCAATCCAATGGAAAATGAGTCCTTCAAGTTAAGGGAGAGAAACATTTCCTGATCTCCTCTATGAGAGGCCTATTCCGGAAAACTTACCAACCAAAGCAAAGCAAAAAGGATGTGTGACTGATTCTAATGTAGAATGTGAAAAAGCAACTGCAGGTTCTCCTCGATGGGTCGACAACGTTGCTGCAATGTGAAACCTTTGCTGGGATGATGGGGAAAATAGCTCAGAGAAGAATTTTGACCGAAAAGCTGGAGAGGCGGATGGATGCCCACCCTCGCAAGAGAGTTGGGCAGCTGAAGCTGCCATCAACTTGCTATACTAGTCGGATTCAGCCAAGGTTACAAGAATGGTTTTCCTAAAAGACGGCTAGGGTTTTCAGCAAAAATAGTCCAAGTGACGTCTCAACTACACCATTAATTTTGATTGTATCACGAATTTTTAAAATGTAGGCAAATGAGAATTAGGGTCTTCGATTACACTACCGCCAAATTGAGATTGTTATACCATTTGAATTAGTGCAAGTTTAATCTCAAAATTATTAGCATTTATTGTAGATATCATGATGCTTGTTTGTAGACCATCACCTCAGAGCAATGCGAAGTCTCACAATGCTCTTTTATTCGCCTCCTCAGCCGTAGGTTCAATTTGTGAAAGTTCAATTGCCATTTTACCTTTACCTTGAGTCTTCACAGTTTTTCGTAATGTTTGCCTTTGTTGTCTCCTTAGAGTCCTTTCAATTTTGAGATCCAATAGAATATGACTCATAGAGCTTTCTACATATACCACAAGAAACTATAATCAAAAGATTAACCCACAATAAAACTAAACAATGAATTATTTTAAATAAATATGTCAACCAAGTCTAAATGTATTCACAATATAACACAATGTCTAGACAAATAAAGCTTGCTTAGCCTTAATATTGTCATAATCCTTGGCAACATCGCTAAAAACTTAACAAGGTTCTAATCTACGTTCTAAATTTTAATCTAATTCCCTCGTTCACTGCAAGTATGTAGGTCATGTCTCGTAGTACTAGAGAGCTAGGATCAATCTTACGAGAATCACTTCCAACTACTAAGACTTTTAGCTCATTCTATTATCTAAACTAATCAAGAATTTTAACTAAGTGAAAGAAAAATTAACAAATTGATGACACTCCACTAAAAACAAATGTCCTAAAGTATAGAATCCATTAAATATAACTAATATGGATGAAATGTCAATTATCAGTAATGAACTTTTCTTGCTAAGGATGTATTTCACTCAAGCCATAGGAACTTGCTCTTACCAATGAATAGAATCTAGCCAACACTATAGTTTTCCTACTTTCATGGTGGAATCACAAGTTAATACTTAATCTAAATCTAGAAATGCCAAAAACATCCACTTAAGTGTACTACTACTTTTGTGTGCCTACTCCACCTAGTCCATTTCCGTCATTGTCAACTATTTTCATAAATTAACAACAACTATCATGGTTTGCAAATGGTGATTAAGCATTCACAAGTGTTAAAGTAAAAATAGGTGAACTAGCAAGTACAAAATATAGTAATAATCAACTTTATTCAACCATAATCAAGGCACAAATAGTTTCATCTACCCTAGAACAAGAAGTTCTAGTTAGACATAGTAGATTTAGGAATAAATCTCATATCTTCAATGTAATTGAGCATTAATGAAACAATAAAGAGAGTAAAGAGGAAGAAATGCTTATTCAAGTAAAGAAACAAAATCTCCAAGTTTCACCATCTTCATTGCCATCAAAAATAAAATGATACACATAGAGTTCTTCAAGTTCTTCGAGGGAAAATGAAACTAGATCTAAAAATACACTAAGCGAAGCTAGAGAAGAAAGAGAAAAAGGAGTTGTTTTTCTAGCCAAGATCTAATCTCTCTTTTCAATAATTTGTTTATTTCTTGTTAAGAGTCAAGAAAAGAAACTCCTGAATTCCCCAAAAGTTGGTACAAGTTCTCTTTATGTCTTGTCAAATATGAAGAAAGAAATAAAAATCATGCA